AAAATATGAGTGTGTACCTGAATTTGGGCAAAAATCAACCTAAAATACTTTGTTTCCGCAATTTTATTTATTAGTTCCCGCCCTACATTTGAATTCAAACTTGTCCCGATTTCGCCGCCAATCCTTTAGCCAATAGTAGAGGTGATTGAAAAGAAGCTCTAGAAGCTTCATTTTTTGCTTTTAGTGCTCCGTCTTTATGTCTTTGGTCTGAAGTGTTCAGAGGATATAACATAACCTTTAAAAATTGCAAGTTTGTTGAGCTTAAAACTAAAATGACCCTAAAATGTCAACTTTTAAATTTTTATTCCATTCGTAAAAATTCGCATAATCTGTCGTATTCACATTAAACCATCTACTTATAAAATTAATTTGATTTAAATTTTAAAAATCATTAAAAAAAAATCATAAAATGCTTAATAGAGTATTATAAGTCCGAAACTATTTTTATATCTGCTTTAGTGAAAAAGTTTCATCGTTACATCCATGCAAAAACTTCGTGTTTTGACTTTTGATAGTTTGTTTACCTCCTACTCCTCATCACAACTCGCGCAATTCACGTGTTTTTTCCCACTTCATTCCCAGGTTTGTGCTTGAAATGCTGTGTACCTCTCCGCAAACACCTTTTCGTTTTTTAAACCTTTAAAGGCGTGTAATCAGCAACGCGCTTGGATATTCAACCTTTCAGCACAGGTGTTCCCTGCATCATGGGAAAAGTCAATCGACCAGGTAAGCATGCTTCAATCGCATTTTGACTTTGGGTCCACAACTGCTCTTAAATATATTATCATTAATTTTAAAGTCAGGATTAAGAACCATAATCATTTCTTGTGACAACTAATTGACATAATTGATTTCAAACTTCGTGAATAGGAAGCCTTGATAGCACAACACTGAAGGGCCTGTCTCAGAGCTCGCATCGCATGCAGTTGCTTACTCTCTGTTTGCAAGAATCTGCACTGGCACCATATGATCGTATGATTGTAATGATCGAGAATTGATCAAGGGCTCCACTGTTGCCATACATGTATGTGAAGATGTACTGCGCTTGATAGCTGTGAAGTAAAAAGAGCTCGAGTTAGATAAGTTTGCTGTTGTTCACCTCTGACCGTCACGCTCTGTAGATCGATCAAAGTATCTGCACACGGATGTAGTGTCACCCCACAGTCAACCCTTGATTGCTATTGAATGGCGCGATACAGTTGCTTGCAAATGGAAAGTAATCAACTGTCAACTTATCGGACACAAGTTGCAACTGCTAAAGTTTGCGTCGATCTCCGTTTAGCTCTGAATTCACACTACTCAACAGGTTAATACATGTAATCAGGTGGCACCATTGGTGAATGGTGACATGAATGATACTTTGACTTTTGTCTCAACATACAATGCGCGAGCTCTAACTTACTTTCCTGGCGCAAGTTCTAGGCATGAAATCAGTCCTATGAATTAAGTAGAACATAAAAAGCAGAATTTCAATAACTGAGTAGAATCGGATTTTAATTACTTTGTCAACATAAAGCTGTAATGATGCTCACTGGATTTTTGACTCTGTTTGTCAGCTGAGCCCAGTTATTTTGTTCAGATGCTCCACTTTACTCAGGGGTGCAGGCTGTTCTCAGCCTCACTGGTTCCCTCCCTCAGTCTTGCGTGAAAACGCAGTAGAGTTAATTTTTAAACTCAAATTCTAATTTTTCATTTTTTTCTGGCTTCGATTCCCCTGCAGAATAGTGTGGACCCAGCATTATTCTACTATCCTGTAACACTATTCTAAAGTTCTTTTTCCACTCTATCATCATCACCGAATATTGTTGAATTTATTATTGTTTTAGAACTAGCCAAGTTGAGTCATCAACAACGCACAGTTGTCACCATCTCTGAGATAATCCAAGAACTACTAGAGGCCCATCGTGAGGGTAAGGATATCAATCTGAACCGGCTGAAGACCCGTATATCTTCAAAGTATGGCTTACACACATCACCAAGATTGGTTGATATTATTGCAGCAGTGCCTTCGGAGTCCAAAAAAATCTTGTACCCAAAATTGAAAGCTAAACCGATCCGAACAGCCAGTGGGGTAAGTTCAACTCACAAGACTTCTTCTCTATTAAGTAATGCAAAATTGTTGAAAATCATGGGAATAGCGTTGACATTCTTTGTTTAACCAAAGGTGCAGAAAATGCCTTGTTTAGCTACTTGTGGATGAGGTATCTATGTTAAATCTCAGGAAAATCTTAGAAACTAAGGAAAAATTAATTTCTCGCAGAAGTAATCTCTGAAGGAAAGAAATAAAATTTTAAAGACTGTTACTGGAGCCTCAAAAGTATAGGTTTATCTCCTGGAAAAAAAACCAACGGAAATCCAAAGAACTGGTCAGTCCTTGGAACTTTTTGCATTCTACGCTTGACCAAGGTGTATTTTATTTTCATCTTAAAAGTTGGCTTTAAACTTGATGATTTAAATTTGAACTAGAAACAAAATTTTACCAGAAAAATTCTCGATTTTTAGTTTTCAGCAGCTGGGCAGCAGTTTGTATCATAGACCAAATTTAGGATCTCACCGAAGAAGATGAATTCAACTGAGTTTTTGTAAAATATTGACTGCAAAGAAATGATCAACAGATTTCTGCCTTATACTTCTGTTAGTTATTGCATTTACAAAGTTGGCAGCATCTGATTTTTTTTTAAAAAAAAAAAGGTGTATAATACTGCCATGCTAAGGAAGAATGCTGTATGAGCCTTCAGGCGTTGCCAAATTTTCTTTTACATATCACGAATTTTCAGACAAATTTGTAAATATTTTTGATCCAATTCCTTAGATAATTTTGTTTGTAATTTGATCAAAAGTGTGAAAATTTCAAGGAAAAATATTTGTAACTTTCCTTAAAAACAAACATTTAATCAGAGAAAATTTGGCAACTCAGGAATGTACATAAGGCATTTTTCCTTAGCACGACAGAATATTGATTTGTGAAAATTTCTGCAGTGCTAAGAAAAAACATTGTTCAAACATTCGTACATTGCTATTTGATAAATACACATATAAGGTCCTCTGAAATGTCTGAAAATTCGTGTTTTCCTGGACAAAATTTGGCATCAATGAATAGCTCATACAGCGTTTTTCCATAGGTCGATAGATTTGCTGATTGTATGACTCTTAATCTTGTTCTGAGGTTATACTTTATGCTTTTCAGATCGCTGTCGTTGCCGTCATGTGTAAACCACATCGTTGCCCTCACATTAATATGACAGGGAACATCTGTGTGTACTGTCCTGGAGGTCCGGATTCAGACTTTGAATACTCTACCCAGTCGTACACGGGCTATGAACCGACTTCCATGAGAGCAATTCGTGCACGTTATGATCCATACTTGCAAACTAGACACCGTGTTGAACAGGTAAATTACCAACTTTCAAACTGCCAAATATTTTCACTTATATTGAAATTCTGATTGTTTTGCTAATTTTATAATAAAATAATCCTCCGCTCTTGCAGATAAGAATTCTGTGCAAAAATGTGCATTATATAATGGTAAATAGATCATTTCCAATCCTCAAACAAGCATCTATTTCGAAATTGCCATCATGTCATAAAACACAGCCTTCTCAAAGTGTCCTTATTTCAAATAATAATTTAAACAGGAACATTTGCAGAGCAAAATACTGGATAAGTTTGTACATTTGATGAATTCTCTCTTTCAAAACACTGTAAACTCTAGAACTCTAGGTCAAAAACATACAAAACCTCGTAAATTACATACCTTAATATAACTATTTGCCGAGGTATTTGATAACATGCCTGATTTGGCCATTTTCCTGCAATATATAAGTACTTATAAATCTAGGACACATCTCTCATTTTGTAATTTTTTTGTTATATATTATTTATCTCCATTTGTATTTTCAGCTGCAACAGCTAGGTCACAGTGTGGATAAAGTCGAATTTATTGTGATGGGAGGTACTTTCATGAGTTTACCTGAGGATTACCGAGACTACTTCATTCGAAACCTTCATGACGCCCTATCTGGTCACAGCAGCAGCAACGTAGACGAGGCTGTGAAGTAATTACTTCAAATTATTTAATTTTTCTCCTCTCCAGAAACCTCAAATAGATTACGATTTGATGCACAAATTGTTTCAACAGAGTGTTGGTGATTTTGCCAAGTGTCAAAATTCAGAATAATATAGGGGAAAAAACTTAGGAAAATAGTCATGAAAACATTTGTCTCCAGAAACCTTTCTCTTTTATTTGGCTCTCAAAAAATGCTAGTACATGTGCAGCATAGACGCATTATCATAATATATGCCTTGCAACGTTGATTTGCTCACCATTTGTCTATTTAGGAGATATTGTCGAAGATATTTTTATTTTAGCCTTTAAATTGGTTTCGAATTTTAAAAATTTCAACTAATTTATTCCTCCAGCCTCAGAAAATTTATCTCTGAATATTTAAAAAAAGTTCATATATGTATCCAGAAATCTGCCAACAGCCTTAATTATCTTTCGGAACAATATTTTTAATTTTATATACTGGATTATGATTTAGATATTTTCAACTAAATAATCTTTCAATCTAATAATCTTTGGCATGATCATCAACTAGATAAATGATGACTGGATAAACTATGACAAGATGGATAAACTGAAACAGTTAACTTCAACACAAATACCTATTAACTCTCGACTTGTACCATAAGGAAAATGTGTGTTTATTTAAACCAATTTTTACTAAATAAAATAAAAGATAGATATTCAGTGACGGGACAGTCACGGACTGGAAAATCATTGTTGACCATAAAATTGTTGACCTGGACGATGCTTGATTGCACTCGTTGACTAAGTGATTCTTGACCCAAGTAATTTTTGTCCCAGTGGTTTTCTCTAGATAATCACAAGACCGCTACAATCAGATTTGTTATCATTAATTAATTAATTCTGCAGATACTCTGAGAGGAGCAAAGTGAAGTGCATTGGAATCACAATAGAAACGAGGCCCGATTACTGCCTGAAGCGGCATCTTTCAGACATGTTGCGGTATGGCTGCACTAGACTTGAAATTGGAGTTCAATCTGTCTTTGAAGACATTGCAAGAGACACAAACAGAGGCCACACTGTGAAAGCTGTCTGTGAAAGTTTCAATCTTGCCAAAGATGCTGGTTTTAAAGTGGTTGCTCATATGATGCCTGACCTGCCAAACATGGGTGAAGAACGTGATATTGAGCAATTTATTGTAAGTTTTTAATTGTTGTTCAGGGGCCTTCTTTATCTATCTTAAATCTTTGTTTACTTGTAAAAGGCTCTAAGCCATATAAACTAATCTGAAAATGATTTTAATACCTAATCAGTAAAAGGTATCAGGTTTATCTGATTATCAGTTGAAGGCATATTATGATATCATTTTTAGCCTGATAGTGCTGCTCATAGTTAGGTATCTATAAAATTTTAGAAAGTTGCATCTATAATTTCCCTTGATAATGAAGTATTAGGATGAATTTTAATAGTGTTTTTATTTTGTTCTATTTGTGTGCATGAAACGCAAAATGCAATGTTAGTCTGAATCACCTTCACCACATGTAATCTGTTGTCTCAGTATTACAACAAGATTGCCTGAGTCTCCATATTTATGTAATTCTTCGATGATTTATCCTCTGAAATTGTGTAATTTTCTTTGTTTTCTTCAAGGAATTTTTCGAGAACCCAGCATTTCGTGCTGACGGTTTGAAAATATATCCCACCCTTGTCATTCGAGGTACAGGCTTGTATGAACTCTGGAAAACGGGGAGGTACAAGAGCTATCCTCCCAATACTCTTGTCGATTTAATAGCACGAATATTAGCGTTGGTCCCTCCATGGACAAGAGTGTACAGAGTTCAAAGAGATATTCCCATGCCTTTAGTAAGGTAAGTCTGCTTCTCAAGTGTTGCCTGTTTCAAATATCAACGTTGATTTTTAAGAATAAATTTTCTCGTAAGAAAGAGAGAAATTCATACAAAACCTAACAGGGATACTTCACGCATTAAAATTACTGCTGTGACACTCGTTCTGTAATATCATTCTAAACTTTTTTTGTCAAGGGGTATGGTACTCTCACAATTGGAAAACTTCACCTCAGTGGAGAAGGACGTAATTATTTTTCTTATTTTTCTTTAAATACTCTGCTTTTTAGTCGTGCGGCGAAGCCGTATAGACTCTAGGTTTCGCCGGAGGCTAAAAAGTGTCCACACTTTTAGGCTAAGTCCAAGAGGAGAATTTTCGAGGAACCAAGTAACATATGAGGTATTGATATCGGTGCATTTTGGCCCAATGGAGATGTTACATGTGCGAGGAATTTGCAATTT